CTAGAGAATTGTTAGAACAAACATCCGCTAACTTGATATCAGGCTGATTCTCTACTACCCGGTGTCTGCCCTTGTAACTCTTTTCGCCAATATCCTCCAGAACCCCAACGATGCTCGTGCTCGATCCGATGTTAAATTAATGAGTGTGGTAGTCAGCTTCCTGTCTACCCTAGTCTCCGACGAATCCAATGGCAGCATCAAGCGTATGCTAGGTCTTTGCGGGGAATTCGAGAGAATTGCCAAGGTGGTCTTGGACAAATCCGAAAAAGAGTCTCATTCACGAAAGAAACGCAAGAATGCAGAAGACTCTGCCGGTGCAGACGAAGAACAGTCGGTAACTTCACCCTCCGCCAAACGTACACAACCACCGCCCACCTCCGCATCCTTCTCTCCATCCGTGTTCACCAACCCTACGGCCGCCATTCACTCGCCCGGCGTTCACTCGCCCGGCTCAGGAGGACCATTCCCGGGGGCTACAATGCCCCCAACAAGTAGCCTCCCCGCCGACCTCCCAAGCAACCTCCCAAGCAACATCCCAAGCAATATCCATGCCATGTCTGGCATTGGGCAGGAATACTCAGAGATGCTAAGTCCTGATCACATGGCTAGTGTTGGATTCGCCGACCAACACGCATTCAGTGCCAGTCCCGGTATGTCAACATTCCAGCAACCATTTGTCCCACAAGATCTCTGGCAGATGCCAATGACAATCGAATGGGACTGGGCGGATATGTCTACCAACTTTCCTCCCTTTGAAGGAGCTGGTCCCGGTGGGCCGCTACCTGGGCAGTGATCATGACTGTATGATGGATCAAAATTCCTTTCATCTGTCTTTTATGTAGCTCATGGCGTTGGGATTATTGTTTCCGGTGTTACTATCCTTATCAAACCATCTCCACACATATTGTATAATGAAGCGCTCTTCTTATTTCGAAACCATCACTGGGTCTCTATAGAGTGACCAGGATAATTATGGGTTTCCATTACGCAGCGAATGGCGCAAAGGTGCGTCCTATTTATAGGGATATGTACAGGCAGGTGTCCAATCAAATCCAAAACAATTCTAGACAGTTAAAATTCATGAACGGAATTTGTAAACAACGGCCTTGTGTTCTAAAGGGAACTCACGGCTTTAAGCTAATTCCATCCGGGCCCCGGGGTCTCCAGGCGCTTCCGATGACTCAGCCGGATCGGCGAAAATTTAGAACCGACTGGAACCACACGGCGTCACCTCGGACCTGGATGCCCCAGAGCTTCTCAACTTCCAGCTCAATTCCTCCGTCACGCCTAATCTTGATGGATTGTGGTATCATCGGTTACCTTTAAACTCGATTGACTACCTTTTACCCCCGCCCTCGTAGCCCTCGGGGCTCCCATTCCTCGACCATGGCTACCTTACTTCGACGGCCAGGCAATCTCGCTCGCTACTCGAGGAACGCCGCGGCATTTACCGGTCGCACGGGGCTGGCTTCCGTGCGTCTGCGTCCCTCAAGACTCTCATCTCTGGTTTCATCAAGCCGCGCTAGAACTTACGCTACGCAAGGTCCGACACCCCCCAACGACAACAGCCGGAACAACACATCAGATGGCCGCAGCAATGACCACCAAACAAAGAACCAGAAGTGTGTTCTGACTGAAGCGGAATTGAAGATCGTGGATGAATGGCTGGTAGATATGAACGTGGAGCAACGCGACAATGTCCGAAACTACCTCATGATCAATGGACTTCCACCTGCAGTCAGGGCGCACATCGATCCGAATCAAGAACCGACATTAATGGATCGTATCAAGATGACACGATTCTTGTGGCAAGTCTCAACTTACCATGCTGATGAGCGTCTAGCTAGACAGCAACAACTCACAAAGCGCGGTATCGCAGACTTGCGCACCCCCGCTGAAAAGCACGGAGAATTCAAGCTTCACTTCAATAAGCGCCCAGAGCATGAGTCACAAGGGCAGCAACCGGCAAAGAACGGCGAACAGCAATCCAACGCACAACCGCCAAAGGATCCCAAGCAAGACAAGGATCCTAAGGAGGAAAAGGATACCAAGGAAAAGCAAGCCCCCAAGAAGGACCAGCAACAACAGAAGAACCAACAAGGCGACAAGAAGGGCAAGGTGCCCCCGAACATGGGCAAAGTCCTCGAGTTCCGCTTCGATCCCGTCTCATTCTTCGTTACCGCTCTCGTCACATACTACGTCTACCGCAGCTTTTTCCCCGGTGACAGTGGGGGCCGAGAAATTACTTGGCAAGAATTCCGGGCGAATTACCTTGAGAAGGGCCTTGTAGAGAAATTGACTGTCCTGAACCACAACAAGGTCCGGGTTGATCTCAATCGCGAAGCTGCGGCTCAAGCCGACTCAAATGGTCAGCCTACCTCCTATGTCTTCTTCAGTATTGGTTCTGTCGACAGCTTCGAGATGAAGATCGAGGCAGCTCAGTATGAACTTGGTATTCCATCGCATGAACGTATTCCTGTCGCCTATCACGATGAAACCCCATGGGGCGGTGTCTTGATGTCATTGGCTCCTACTCTTCTCTTCCTTGGTGGTGTCTTCTGGATGTCCCGGCGTGCCGGTGGCGGCGCCGGCGGCCAGAGTGGAATCTTTGGCATCGGTAAGAGCCGTGCCAAGCGCTTCAATCACGAGACCGATATCAAGATCAAGTTCTCCGACGTTGCCGGCATGGACGAAGCCAAGGTTGAGATCATGGAATTCGTTAGCTTCCTCCAGCAACCCGAGCGGTTCGAGAAGCTGGGTGCAAAGATCCCCCGTGGTGCTATTCTCTCAGGTCCCCCCGGAACTGGTAAGACATTGCTTGCTAAGGCCACTGCTGGTGAATCTGGCGTGCCTTTCTACAGTGTCAGTGGTTCCGAGTTCGTCGAAATGTTTGTCGGTGTCGGTCCCTCTCGTGTCCGCGACCTCTTCGCCAATGCCCGGAAGAACACCCCCTGCATCATTTTCATTGATGAAATCGATGCTATTGGAAAGTCCCGAGCAAAGTCGAACGTTGGTGGTGGAAACGACGAGCGTGAAAGCACTCTCAACCAGATTCTTACTGAGATGGATGGCTTCAATACCTCCGAGCAAGTGGTTGTCCTGGCCGGTACCAACCGACCGGATGTTCTCGACAAGGCCCTCATGCGTCCCGGACGATTCGATCGACACATCTCTATCGATCGACCTACAATGGACGGCCGTAAGCAGATCTTCCGTGTTTACTTGAAGAAGATTGTCACCGACGAGAACCTGGAGTACATGGAGGGCAGACTTGCCGCTCTGACTCCCGGTTTCGCTGGTGCTGATATCGCCAACTGCGTGAACGAGGCAGCTCTTGTTGGTAAGTTCTTCTGCATAGACTTTTCGCTGTATTTCATTAAAGCTAACAATTTCTCTCTGCAGCTGCCCGTGAAAACGCAGACAAGGTCGTCATGAAGCATTTCGAGCAAGCCATCGAACGAGTTATTGGTGGATTGGAGAAGAAGTCCCTTGTCCTCTCTCCTGAGGAGAAGCGGACTGTCGCCTACCACGAGGCTGGCCACGCTATCTGCGGTTGGTACTTCAAGTGGGCTGACCCGCTGCTGAAGGTGTCGATCATTCCTCGCGGACAAGGCGCTCTGGGCTATGCCCAGTACCTCCCGGCTGGCGGCGACACATATCTGATGAATGTCAACCAGATGATGGACCGCATGGCCATGACTCTAGGTGGTCGTGTCAGTGAAGAGCTGCACTTCGAAACCGTGACTAGCGGTGCTAGTGATGACTTCAACAAGGTCACTCGCATGGCTACTGCCATGGTAACTAAGTTCGGCATGTCGTCCAAGCTTGGTTACATCTACTACGAGGACGACGCACAACAGCAACTCCACAAGCCCTTCTCCGAGGATACTGCCCGCTCTATTGATATGGAGGTGCGCCGTATCATCGATGAGGCCCACAAGCAGTGCCGCGACCTCCTGACCGAGAAGCGGAAGGAGCTTGGTATTGTTGCCGAGGAGCTTCTGTCTAAGGAGGTTCTTGGACGTGACGACCTCATCCGTCTCCTTGGCCCGCGCCCCTACCCCGAGTCTGGCGAGTTCGCCAAGTACTTCGATGGTAAGGGCGGCCAAACCATTGCCCCACCGGACTACCAGAGCCCCGAACAAACCTCTGGCAAGGACGGCCGGGATGAGACACCTATTCCTCCTTCATAGATTAGGAGATTGTGTTTCTTTGCATTCCTCTGCTTTGGTTTGGTTTTAGTTCAATTTTGGGAGGCATGATATCACTGTAGCCTCTCTTCTTTTTGTATTTATCGATTGCATCTCCCGTTTCTTCTCCCCTCTCTCATCTTCTCTTTTTGTCTACCCTCACCCACAATATCTTTCTCCCTATCCTCCATCGTGCCAAATAAGAAGATCGTTTCTTTTTTTTTATTTTCTCTCTCACTTGTCCCCCCATCCATCTCCGTGTCCAATTGGATCTGTACAACTTGTACTGAGTGTATAATAGGGAGTTATTTTGAAACATGTCTTAGATTGGAAGTCCATGTCTCTTACACGTAAATATTGTCGAATGACTGTCGTAAACCTCACCGGATAATGTTGTATCGGACTCATTGGCTAATAAGTTATCTAAATCTCCTTTGATAGCAATGACACATCCAAGACATGCGAATATCTTGCGCTTTGTATCTTCAATTATTGTCTTTGGTTTATGTGTAAACCATCGGTTCAAAGAAGTCGACCTGGTTCAAAACAACCCTACAAGTGCATACAAACCCACAAAGAGATTAAAGGCAAAGAGGACAAACGATCCAGCTATAAGGATGACGTCGAAATAGATGAAAGAGCTTAAGACTGGTCAAAAATATATTATGATATTCAATCTATTAATAAAAACCCCAGGTATACCTTATGAGAGAAATACCAAACCCAAAACGCCAATTATATCTCCATTCCCTGTTCTCAGGCAATATTTCATCTGTCAGAACTTCAGACCGGGATCCTGATTGATCAGAGATGCTACGCATCCCTGAACTTCGAGACGAGAACGGTCATGATCTACTCAAAGATGACACAAGTTCGAACAAAAGCGGCCCTGAAGTCGAGACGGAGTGGACAAGGGATGCTCTCTGCGCATTCGATCGTGTCTGGCATGATCCAGCGAGGAGAAAGCAGCCCGCCTGTTTCCAACCCGGCAGTCCGTCGGTTTTCAGCGGCGCGCCAAGCAGGACTGCTGCATCTCAAAGCAGACAGATCCTGGCCCCAGACATCTATGCTGCCCCATACAGGACGGTAACACTAGAGCAATCTCATCAATATTGGGATACAACAGAACAGCCCCATCAGCTTTCACGCGAGACGATATCCCGATTCTACAGTCCGGCCTGTTTGAAAGAAAAGCTCCTAGGTCCCGAGAACTACAAAGATTGGGCGGACCAGATGAAGAAGAAGCTTGAACAGTGCGGCTGACTGTGGATCACCAATGCTGATCTCGAGATGCTGGCGCATAGCAGCTCAAGTACACAATACACCCAGTCCAACCTGAACCTGTGGATGATGGTCTTCAGCAACGTGTCACTGCCCATACGACGGGAGCTGTGTGCTCTAAAGGTATTGGATGCACAGGAGACATGGCAATTTCTGGAAAGGACATATGGGAGAGTCATTCCCATGAAGATGCGTTCAATCAACGGCCTACACGATATCATGGGTATCAGGTATGACAAGTGTGCGTCACTGAAAGAGTACATAGAGAAGATGGTGTTGTGCAGCCGAGCTATTCAATGTAACCGCGGAGGGAAAGGCTGTGGCGACGGGGAGAAAGACAATGGCTGCGGAGATAACTACAACCACTTGAGAGGGGATGGAACTAACGAATGGCTATGGTGCCAGTTCATCTTGGTGAATCTTGGTCCGGAGTGGGAGTCTTGGGTCTCTGAGCTGGTGGGGAAGTTCGAAGATAAAGAGAGAATGAATGTTGCAATAAGCACATTCAGAGGACTCTTCCCGATCATCGAAGCAGAACAAGCACGTCGCATGCAAGCTGCTCGTTACACGAAGAATTCTGGTGTGTGAACATGTCTTTAGAAGTTTTGTCAATAGGTAGCTCATGTTCCCAGTTTGTTGTAATGAGTGATTGGCTGTTGAAGATAATAAAACAGTGTGCATTTTGTCAAATAATAGTTTGAGGTAAGAAGCCGAGAAAGTACAGAAAGAAAATGAAAGGAAAACATGTCCACCCAAATGGTAAAGATTCTTGTCATCCTTTGCTTATATATCAACCAACACATCAGGTGCTCTTCTTGCTGGTCTTCTTGGTCTTCTTCGCCTTGACAGACAAGCGAGGGATAAACCTCCCAACGCGAGCCTGGTAATCGCTGTACTCGGGGTACTTGCCAGCAGTGATAGCCTCAGTAAGACGTACACTTCCCTGGAAGATAGCAAGATATCCCAAAGCGCCGAGACCGGCCCAGCTGAAGTAAGTCTCGGTGCGGTAGCAGGACCACAAATACATGGTCAACCAAAAGGCCTGCTCGGCAACGAAGTTGGGGTGTCGTGACCAAGACCAGAGGCCACTGACGACAAAGCCCCGCTCAAGATCTTCAGCGGAGAACTGCTCCTTGTAGGGCTCGGGAATACGCGCGTTGGTTTGGTACTCTTTCTTAGCAGACTGGAACTTCCACTGCTGTCCGTCGGCGAAGAATTCAATAATAACGAAGAAAAACGCAGCACGAGAGAAGGCTAAGTCAGGAAGGCCAAAGGTCTCGGGTCCCTGGTTATATGCGGCGACAACAAAAATGTAGGTCGGGGCGGTGACGAGGAGGAGGAGCAGCGACTGAGCAATTGAAATGAATCCGAGGTTGAAGATCATGAAAAGAAAGCTGTTGTTTATTTTAGAGCGCACGATCGGCCAGCGGTAATCTTCCGAGCCAATCGAATATCCTCCTTTGCGCCAGTAGTTGAAAGTCAAGCGAACCTATCCCATAATTCGAGTCAACATATGCAGATATTAGGAAGAAAAGCCAACTTACACTCCAAATAACACTGATGACGGCGATTGTATCCAAAGTCTGGGTCTGGATGCCGGACAAACGAGCCCAAACGGCGTAATGCACATTGTACAGCGCGGGGAGGATGCTCCAAAACCGGTCTATTTGTGAATAGTTCCGGTTGATCTCGGCTGCGATGAAAAGCAGACCAGCCAAAGTTCCACAGAAACCAAGCGCAGAGACGAGTGGGTTGGTAGCTAGATAGACTGCTCGCAAGCTATACACATCGCTACCAGCTTCACGCAAAGTGCTAGGCAGCCATTGCAACTGGGTCAAGTAGGGAAGAACGGTGAGCTGGAACGAGGTGTAATCCAAAAGGGACTCCACGCGGGGAAGTGGTAAAGATGCCATGGCTATAATATAGGGTCAAAATGCCGCATAGGAAAAGGAAAACAAAAGCGTTTGCTCCGGTGGAGTCGGACAGGTATGTTGGCCAGTGATTGCCTGATTGGGATTAGCGTTCCTAAAAAGGGATTATATGCCTCAGGCATCACTGCGCGTCTCAGGCATCCCATCTCTTCGCGTCCGAGCCATCCAGAACAAGATGTGATCGACACCAGGACATTCAAGGCCACCAACACTATGAACCCCATGTGATCTAGATTGGGGCTTGTCATGGCTCGCAAAATCCTATGTGTCGCTGAGAAGCCTGCCATTGCTCGCGCAGTGGCTACTCACCTATCGGGAGGTGCCTTTCAAACAGTGGGTTCCCTTTTAAAGAATTCTGATGAATCCAGCTAACATCGAGCATAGCATGCGATCCGTGGAAATCAATATGTGAAGAACTATGAGTTTGATTTCAATTTTGGTGGTGCCTGGGGCAACTGCTCGGTCACCATGACCAGCGTAGTGGGCCATCTGACTGGCCTGGACTTTGACCGCCAGTACAAAGGCTGGATGTCTTGTCCTCCAGGGTCACTATTTGAAGCTCCTGTGCAAGAGACTGTTGATAAGGTAAGAAATCTCCAGCAGTTGTTTTGGCTGCATACTGACGTCTTTACTAGGACAAGATACCAATTGCGGATAACATCCGTAACCAAGCCAAGTACTCTAAAGCCCTATTTATTTGGACCGATTGTGATCGCGAAGGCGAGCATATTGGTTCTGAGGTCCGTAATCAGGCACTAGCAGGAAATGCTCGGATCGAGGTCAAGCGAGCCAAGTTCAGCAACACAGAAAGCGCGTAAGTGGTGTTGATTTCTTTTGATGTCTACTCAAACTAATCTAAGGATAGACATGTTCGTCGGGCTGCCCTAGAGCCAGTCAATCTCGACGAATTTCAGGCCAGTGCTGTAGCTGCTAGAATCGAGCTGGATCTTCGCATCGGTGCTGCATTCACCCGCCTACAGACTCTACAACTACAAACAGTGGTGGCAGCCTTGAAGGAAAAAGTCATTAGCTATGGTAAGCTGTCAATCATTCTAGATATAAGTAAACAAATTAACAAGCTAGGATCCTGTCAATTTCCTACTTTGGGATTTGTTGTCGACCGATATTTGAGAGTCAAAAATTTCAAACCTGAAACATTTTGGGGCATCAAGGTCATCCTCAGCCGTGAAGGCAAGAAGGTCAATTTTCTCTGGAAGCGGGTACATTTATTCGACCGAGCAGTTGTGACGATGATGTTGGAGCGGTGTTTGGTTGCAAAGCAAGCTAAAGTCACGAAAGTGAATCAGAAGCCTACAAGCAAATGGCGGCCGTTGCCCTTGACCACGGTAGACCTACAGATGATGGGCAGTCGATTTCTTCGTTTAGACAGTCAGACTATCATGAAGGTAGGAAATCCGCTCTCATATTGGATGATATCTAACAAGCTCAAAGGTAGCAGAAGCACTTTACACCAAGGGATTCATCAGCTACCCCAGAACTGAGACAGACCAGTTTGACAAAGCAATTGACCTGAAGAAATTGGTCGAAAAGCAATACCCCGACAGCTCATGGGGTCAATATGCTAGAGAGTAAGCTGATTGGACTTACCTTTCATATACAAGGCTAATGCCTCTTTAGACTTGTTGATGGCAAGTTCAGGACTCCTCGCTCTGGCCGTCACAATGACAAGGCTCATCCACCTATTCATCCTGTCAGCTGGGTTTCACCAAGTCAATTGAATGCCAATGAAAAGAAGGTCTATGAATTTGTTGTCCGTCGATTCCTCGCCTGCTGTTCTGATGACGCGAAAGGCCAGAGCACAGAGATTGAAATTCAATACGGCGACGAATCCTTCCACACCAATGGTCTCATCGTGTTGGAGAGAAACTACTTGGATGTATACGTCTACGATAAGTGGGAAAGTAGCCAGCAACTTCCCAACTTTGAACGAGGAGAGCTCTTCGAGCCCACAGAAGCCAATATTTTCGAAGGCAAAACAACTGCTCCGAACTATCTGACGGAACCCGAGCTCATTGGCCTGATGGATGCCAACGGGATTGGTACAGATGCCACGATGGCGGAGCATATTGCCAAGATCAAAGAACGTGAATACGTCGCTATAAACCAACGAGGCAGTGGCCGCAGCTCAGTCCAGGAATTCATTCCAACCCGTTTAGGTGTTGCCCTTGTGGAGGGGTATGACAATGTTGTCGAGGGTCTCCCTAATAGTGTGTCTCTCAGCAAGCCGTTCCTTCGCAAGGAGATGGAATTGAGAATGGTTGAGATCTGCTCGGGTACCAAAACTCGACAGGAGGTCGTCCAGCAGAGTCTGGACATGTACCGAGAAGTCTTCATTCATACACAGAGACGCATCAACATGCTGAAGAATGCCTGTCGCAAGTATCTTGTTGAAGAAACCACGTCATGATTGTTAGTCGCTTACAAAAGGCACCATCTACAATCATAATGAAATATTATATCCCAATCCACTTGATATTAATTAAAATTGCATGCAGTCGAAGTAAAAAGGAGAAGTCATAAAGCTCCCTATGATACAGATACGAAATGAATATTCACATGCCCTAGGTCAACTCGAACTCCTGACCATTGCGTTGAAACAATCCTCCCTTTCCATTCTTAACCCCCAGACCTCTGTCGAAGTTGGAGCTTCCGTTGGATTCCCCTGCGGTGTTGTGGTTGGAAGATCCGTTCATCTGCTCGGGGGTAGGGCTCTTGCTGAAATCTAAATTGGACTTGTCCAATCCTTCGGGTAGGTTGTTGGAGATGTTCTTCGCCATCAGTATGTTAAGCCAAGCTAGCTGTCTCGGAATCTGAGGGAAACTTTCAGTATTTCTCATCAGATTCTGGTGCTGGCTACTGACCTCGTCCAATTTGGACTCGATATCAATCATCCCAGAGGTGTATTTGTTTTCCATCGTACCAACAACATGCAACAAACAATGTTGGAGGTCGGCCGCGGAGTTTGTGATGGCCTCGGCCAGGTGAACAAAAATAGGCCGTACTTGTTCATTTTCTCTTCGAAACTCTCGGATTTCCATCATCAAGGTGCCGAATTGTTGTTGCACGCCGCTCATTCGGTCAACATAATCGTATTGCAGGTCTTCAACATGCTGCTTGATGCCATTCGTCATCCAAAAGCCCATCATTTGCATTGTAAGAATAGCCAAGATGAGAGTAGCCATGACCGTGAAATACAGTGTGTCACTCTGGGCTGGGTTGTACTGTTGCAGGTCTTTGTTACTGCTGTCGTTCAAATAGAATGAGGCTGGCATTGGGGTGGCACCCAAGACTCCCGGGTCTAACATTGGCGTTGTAACTCCTGGGATGTTTATGTGTAGCGATACTGCATCAGCCGAGTCTTCCAGGGCCAGCCTGGCATTCTCGTAGTGTTGAGCATCGAGCGAAAGTTGCAGAAGGAGGTCGTATTCTGAGATTGCGTCGCTATTGGGGAATACGAAAAGGTGAACTTTTTGCAGGCTGTGAATGGAATACGCAATTTCCAGGGAGTTAAGACTGCGCCAAAAGAAAGAGTTGGAAGGGGTGATTCCGGTCAACGGAACAGAATGCCAGATGCCAATGCTGCTGAGGCTGGCAAAAATGATCCCCGGCAACAGTTGGTCGAACATCTTAGTGGTTTGAATATCAGATCAGTAGGTTTCAAGAGACTCAAGGGAATCTCCGTCTTTCTCGGTGTCTTGAGAGGTTAAATATACTGTGAAGAAGGCAGAAATGCAACAATGAATACATAACTCTTTGTTCAATTCACCATCAATGGCCGGTGTTTTCTATATTCAAACTTGAATAAACAATAAACGTTCATTGTTTGAGCTTGTTGATTGTTTGAAAGTTACATTATGTTTAGCATTGCTTCTTTGTACGGTTTGTATTTAGCTGTCTCTTTACCCATTTTAGTTTTAGCATAACTATATAGCTAGAGGGTGCATCTAGAGGATATTATCATCCGTAAGTCTGATTATATTCGATATCATTAAGCTACTCCATATTTTCTAAAATAATCAAATATTTATCTAAGCACACATAAGACAATGAGTTCAAAGAAAACTACCCACTGATACCAGCACAAAGAAGCTCTAAAACCATGTCGGACAACTTTCAAACTAGTTTTCCCCAATAATAGGCTTTTCCAGAAATACTATCAATCCCTTCGATCGTAGTGAAAGGAGTAAGTGTATTATGAGACAGCAAACAACAAAAGCATTATTATCACACTGGTTTCTATGTATACATTTTAGGATGTGAATCTTCTAGCATGCAAGTAAACGACCTTGATGCTCTATTCATCTAACATAAGCCAATATTCAGACTATAGGGTGCTAATGTTGATTATTGTAACACATTTAGAATCAAGCTGGCAACAAATTTAACGGTGGTTCTTTCAATGGCTTTCTTTATGCAGTTAGCCATATTCATCATCTGCATGTTTAGAAGATGAACATGAAAGATCGGCAGGCGCAAAAAGCCGTTCTCACGCTTGTGTCTTATGTTTCAATAGAATCGAGACTACTGTTGGCAAGACTATCAGGGAATTTGAAATGTCTCAGATTGTTTAGAGCACCACAAGAACATTACCATGCCCTTTATATCAAAATATGTGGTATTTTACGTACTATAACTATAACATCTAAGATTTACTGCACGACTCTCCTATCAGCCCGCGAAGCCTAATAATATATATGTTCCCGAGGTCAGGGTCTCACGACCTATATCAATTACATGTGGTATTAAATGATTCATCCACTGAGTTTGATGGTAAAATGACTTGTAAGCTTAGTGCATGTGCGGCAATTTTCAATAAGATGTAAAAAAAGGCAACATCTGCCGAGACGAGAAATTTAGTGTGCCGCAGTATTTTTCCGATCATTCTCAATCATCGTCCTCATCATAGTCATCGTCATCGTCCTCAGCATATTCCTCATCGTCGTCCTTCACAACACGATCCACGTCGCCGTTTTCATCGCCATTTTCATCGCTGTCCTCGTGACCATCATTCTCTTCGGCCTTAAACAGGGAGTTGTACCACTTTATAGCAGCATCTTTCTTAGCCTGTGTTAATCGGCCTGCGACATTCGTCGCGAGTTGTAAGCCATGTTTAATGAGATGTTGACGGAGATTGTTGGTGGCTGAGATGGCGATCTGCATTCAATCAATAACCAACTCGAAGAGCCTTAGTATAGATACACTGACATGCTTATGCGTACAGCTCGGTACCCGGCAAAAGACCTCGCCATGGTACACAATTGCTTGGCCAGCGGGGTTCTGTTGACGCAATTAGCAAAATTCTCCGAAGCTGATTATTTTCCACAAGACTTGCGGTCGTGTAAGGCGGGAGCTTGAGCTCCCGGGCCTCAGTCTTGAGAAGATACTCTCTGTATGCGTTACAGCCTCTCAAAAAGACGGGACAGTTATGACTGTCTACCAGAGGATCAGGGAGAGACATTTTGTAATGTCTTTTAGTTTCAGAGTTCTTTCCTGATGGAAGAGAGGATGAAGAGCAAAGCAGAAGAGGGAAGTAGTTGGGAGGAGAAAAATGGCTGAGATGCTCTGAGCAGCTCCTTCCTTACCTCAGATCTTTCCCTCTTCGACATCATCTCTTCTCCTCCATCCTGCTTCAACCGTCATCTCTTCTTATTTTGAGACTCTGCCTTCAAACAATCTCAAATCTACTCGTTATTTGTCCCTCAACTCTCACAATCAACATGGACTTCGTGTTCGCAAGCCCGAGTGATGTGACGCTCACTATCATTGAAGACCCGAGTGATAACGACGACCACAAAACGAAGACAGCCTTATTTCACGTTGACCGCTCAAAATTGATTGCAAGCAGTGAATTCTTTAAGAGAACGTTTTTATCCCGATGGGAAAGATCTGGAAACCACAATCCCACTCTCAGAGGCGACTCGATCAAAGGCATGGAGGTGATATTGGGGTCGATTCATGGAGTCGACACCAAGCCAGAGTCTGTCTCTATTGCAGATGTCTGGTACATAATAAAGGCCTGCAACAAGTACCTACTGGATCCCAAGAAGCTGATCGGCTGGTTTACGTGCTGGATCAAATGGATTGAGAAACAACCCGACCTATGGGAAGATTGGGACATCAACCGCCAGTTACTATTTCCTTGCCATTTCTTTGATAATGCAAAAGCATTCCAGCAAATTTCAAAAAACCTCGTTTACACCACCATAGGTCAAATCACAGAAATGGCTCCGACAGACTCACCGTCGTTTGAGCCGATGCATATGCCCCCCATCATCATACGTAAGTCACGACCACTCATCCCTTATGGCTGCAACCCCAAATATATCTAACACGCAAAAAGAGCAACTAAATGCAGCTAGGGGACGCCTCAGAACGATCCTCCAAAGATTACTTTTCGAAGATGTGAATGTGACTATCGATCATGCTCGCTGTGGCTGTGCAGCGCAAAACGTTTTCTCCTACATGAGAGAATTGCATATAATCGGTGTCAAGCCGCTGGACAGCGACATACACAAGAATTGTGTTCGTGATATTCTTGATAGACTGGAAAACTTCAGCGAGGTCAAGATGGGGTCAGTACAGAGATGTGGCGCATGCTCTCGCCCGTGGAAACGCGTGGTGGAGCACGCACGAAGGCAGGTTGAGAGCTACTTTGATGGTCTCTGTTTGGACTGCATGCAGAATCATCCAGACGAGAATTCCGAGTACTGGGCTCTTGGCATCCCAAGACATGCCTATGACACAACTTGCCGCATCAGACACGGCGAGCCGACCTGGTACTTCAGTTTCATGGGCCTGTCGTGATAGGAGTCCATACCGTATGAACTCCTGAGTGAACAAGACTGACAAATCTTGACTGCATCACGGTCCTGATCCCCTTCCCTGAGATTTTGCCAAGTGATCTATGCCCATTTCTTTTCTGTCAATTTGATATCCACTGTTTTCCCGAGTGCCGCAACCATGTTTATGGCAAGCTCGCTGATCTTTCAATTGGCGGCAGATACCTACAATGCAAGCTACACCAGAGCCATGAACCGGTGAATATGTGTTTGAAGCATATCTTTTTGTTAGCAAAATACCAAATCTTGTAATGATTTTATTGTTTATTTGTAAGATCATCGTCAGCAATGGCCGTACATCTAGCACATCTAGCTCTGTAGTTTATCGGCTGGTTTTTTTGATATAACCTTCAATTGGTTCCCTCTTCTGGAGCGTCGTTTCCTATGTGGTTGAATTATTTAGTATTGAAGCAAGAAAACAAGATGCCTCCAATTGAAGGTATCATAGCCATTTACTTGCTCATGCCGAGCTCGATATTATCATTGACTGTATGTAATGCGGAATGTAAATACATGGGTATCAAAAATAGCTCATGGAAAAAAAACCAAATAGAAAAAAAAGAAGTTCTCCGATGGGGGGATTCGAACCCCCGTTAGTGCTGTGAAAGAGCACAGTGATAACCCCTACACTACATCGGAGTGTTATGGGATTGGTGTCTCCTAATTTATTTATTATCCTTATGCTATCGATGTAGTACTCATATTTCACCCTAACGCGAATATCATTCTGAACCACAGATAGATGCGATGTAATTCGCCCACATAATTTGTCTTGCTAGGTCTTCCTCTCTAGTATTTCCTTAAGCCGACAGGCTGTTATCGAGCTCTAGGGATATAGCTGGCAAATTCCACCGAAACAGAGTCACATGTCACAAATATGTATGCGGACTACAAAGAGAAATTGTTAACGGGGGGTACTAATCTCACTAGTTATACAGAGGATACACAACCTGCATGGCCCGCGCCGACAATGAGAACATCGATATAAAGATCATCCGGCGTCATGTTGGAGCAGAATAGTGATTGGAGATTGTTGTTGGGAAAGTTTAGTTCAGGCCTAGTATTTCTGACTATCTCTTATTTGTCTATGTCGACTTCACAACCTTACAGGGAGAATCTAATGCATCCATAACCTAGAATCTCACTTTCCTTTCCAGGACTTTGGCATAATCGTGTGATACAGTTGATAATTGCATGGAACGGATTGCAGCGCCTATAGATATGCACCTGCAAAGGCTTTTTTTGAGACAGAATAATTTGAATGGGGAATTTGGATATGCGTCACAATGCTATTTTATATGAGTGTAGAAAAAGTATAAGAATCATGCTTTGGTCGAGGTTTAGGACAGATTCTATAACAACCTATCTTGTTGTAGCTGGCTTCCCTGTTTCTCTCACAGCTATCTTTGAAAATCTAGTTCCTTTTTGGAAGATATGACAATCATGCCAACTCACCTCGATGAAGTTCGCAGGGCTTGGGAAATTCTCAATGAGAATAGCAGCAGCACTAGCGTGGTGACCTTGGATGGAGAGCCGGAATCATTGCAGATGGCCCATATTGTTGCCGTGGCAAGGTAAATTACCAAAAGATCTTGAGAGTATCTAGTTCCTGATCCCCATGGCACCCTCTTAGGTTCTCAGTGGATGCTTCCATTCTGCAGTCCGATCCCATTGTGACGCGTGTCCAGGAAAGTATTGCCACATTGGACATGCATTTGAATAACGGAGAGATTATCTACGGTACGTGGGAGAGAATTCAATTCTGTTTATCAGGCAGTTGCTGATTGATTACATGCATTGAAGGGGTGAATACTGGTTGTGGTGGCAATGCAAACACACGCACGAGAAAACTTGATTTGCTCCAGAAAGCCTTCCTGCAGCATCACCAAGCAGGCATACTAACCTCACTGCCTGAGAATTGGAATAGTTCGTACACTATGCCCCACGACGCTAATCACCACGCCCTGCCGCGAGAGTTTGTGCGCGGTGCAATGCTCCTACGATGCAACTCCCTGCTTCGGGGGCATTCTGCTGTCAGAATGGAGGTTATCGAGCTCTTGATCCAGGCCCTCAATATGGGCATTACCCCGCTCATTCCTGCTCGAGGTAGTATTTCGGCCTCTGGGGATCTAACACCTCTTGCCTATCTTGGTGGATTGGTTGAGGGTAACCCCGACATCTTTGTGCAGGTGGGACAGAAAGGCCCCAGCAATGGGGAAATAGGAAAAGAGGTTGAGGTGATGTCAGCTGCAAATGCGCTGCGTCGAGCCAATATCACACCTCTGACTTTGAGGGCAAAGGAAGGCCTCGGCGTCATGAATGGAACTTCACCGAGTGCTGCGGCTGCGGCGCTCACGTTACATGATGTCAACAACATCACTGTTTTGACCCAGGTCCTCACCGCAATGGCTACAGAGGCACTTCTAGGATCAGTCGACAATTATGATGACTTTGTCTCGCAGTGTCGGCCACACCTGGGGCAGATAGAAGTGGCCCGCAATATTCGCGGGTTTTTGGCTGAAACCATGTTAGCTGAAAGGACGCACGTTCATAGGCAAGGTCTTGCTCAAGATCGATACGCTTTGCGTACCGCACCCCAGTGGCTTGGGCCTGTGACCGAAGATCTCTTATTGGCCAATCGGCAGATCACCATTGAGTTAAACTCAACAACCGATAACCCACTGATCGATGTAGCAGGAGATCGTTTCCATCATGGTGGGAATTTCCAAGCTGCGTCTGTTACGAGCGCCATGGAAAAGGCCAAAACAGCACTAGTGATGATTGGTAGGCTTCTTGTCTCACAGTGCCAGGAAATTATCAATCCCAATCTCAACAAAGGATTGCCGCCTAATCTCTGTTTCGATGATCCCAATACCTCGTTTACGTGCAAGGGTATCGACATCAATATGACGGCCTACTTCTCTGAACTAGCATTTCTGAGCAATTCCGTTGTAAGTCATGTGCATGTTGCGGACTTAAACAACCAGTCAGTCAACTCGCTGGCTCTGATCGCATGTCGATATGCAAAGGAAGGTGTCGACATTGTGACCATGATGTGTGCAGCTCATCTCTACGTTATGTGCCAAGCACTCGATCTACGAGCCATGACTCTAGACTTCTTGGCCACTGCAAAGGTATCTCTCCGCGCCCTCTACCAAGAAGTATGGCTTGCTGGGGGGACCCCCAGTTTTGATAAGTTGTGGGTCGCTATCACTGAATCATGGGATGCGCATAATGACTCCGATACGATTGAGACCCGGTGCGAGAAAGTTGCAGCGGACTCAGCCCATTGGTCCATCGATCAGCTAACAATTTCCGAATCATCCTTGTCTTTCGATTCACTGAAATTATTTCCAAGATGGAGGGCTAGGGTTGCATCTCTTTTGAAGAAGGCGCATGAGGAAACTCGCTACCGATTCCTCATTAAACAATCGACTCCTCAATACTTGGCCGTATCGACGAAGGAACTTTATCTCTGGGTGCGTCAAACTCTGCATGTTCCACTGCATCAAGGCCTTGTGGACGATCCCGGAGATGACGAAGATGCAAAGGATAATAAGACAATTGGCACGAGAGTTTCAGCAATCTATACCGCCATTCGTGATGGAAGATCGATAGAACCACTACAGAGGGCAACCAAGATGGCATTTTAGTTGCAATCACAGACGCAGAAGATAAAGCGTATCGCTTCTCTTTCAGAGGATCACAGGCGCTCATTTGAAGAATCAGGTCAGAATTTAGGAGCTATCTTTTATCACTCAAATATCATTTGGGGCCGGAGCCTATATCCGGCAGGCTTTAGAACAAATATTTTCTCTCTCATGAAGTTTCTTGAAGACTGTGTGTCCATCTGTACATTCATTTGAAATTGGACATGTTGCATAGCATAGCATGAGCCAAGGGTGCACATGTGTAACCATCTATGCTGCCTTCATACAAAACTTTATGTCGATGTTTCTTCAGCAGGTACCTCGAAGGGGGTAAGATCTACGGTAGATCATTTCATATCCTGCACAAGATCAAGAACGCGCTAAATTATGAAACTATGCATCACGAGATGCTGCAAATGCACACATTGAGGTATGTAGAGTGCCTATGTATTCTTACCCCTCAGCTGATTCAATCAAATGCGGTCACCGAGGGAAGATAAAAAAGTGTTGTAGATCGGGACGAAGGGCCCCAATCGAAAACCAAGACTTGAATTATGATTTACTTCGATTCAGAAGGTAAATTTCGCTGCATCCGTAGAGAAAGGATGGAAGATATATATTAAATCAAGATCTCGTGCTTTCACTCCCGAAGAACCATCCCAAATCATAGCCTAGAGCGCCCTTTGATTTCGGAGAAACTTCCACATTAAAATACTTATTAACAAACATTGAATATTAAAAGGGATAACAAAAAGGTCTATAAGCCCGAGGAGGCCGTCTTTATGTGTTCCATGCATACCGCTCTTCGCTCCCGGACTCTGATCTCTTGAATAGCATGATGACGGCCGGGGAGAGCGACTCCTGGAAGTTATATCTCATCCAAACTACAGAGAGATGCAAGGAAGGCCGGACATAATGTTAACCGCAGGTACAGGAAATTGGCATCAAATCACGGCGAAATAGTGCATAACCAATCATTACGCGACCTCCACGTCGGCCTTTGTCAAACTATAGGTCAGATATATATATATATATATGCTCGTGTAGGTGTGATCAAAGGGACGAGAGCTCTCGTCATTACGCGCAGAAGCCCTCGATTATATACCAGCTTCCCTTGTATACCAAATTCCCTTGTATAAATTTCATATTTAGATTAATCGAGTGCCACCCCGAGAACATTGACACTTGGTGGTATTGTATCCAAACAATGTTCTTCGCACTCAATGGTTAAATATCAACCGTTTAGTCTTTTGGACTAGAATGTCACCCATATTACTACTCACACCCTGTAAAAAAAATTGGATTGTGTATTCTAACGGAATAAATGATTATCTATTGAAGCTCAACTACATACATGTAGTTGAGCAAAAAGAATCTTGGAAGGCTAATAAAAGAACATGGGGTAAGTATCTCTGGATTGCTGCAAATCTCATAACACTCCGATGTAGTGTAGGGGTTATCACTGTGCTCTTTCACAGCACTAACGGGGGTTCGAATCCCCCCATCGGAGAATTTATTTTTTATTTTTTCCCCTCCATCTATATATCCTAGCAATATACCCCAAACGGAACTCAGTCTCATGTTAGAATAATAAATCTTTCCCTCCCCCTCTTTACATATAGAGTGAACTCTTTTTGAACCGTTTGATTGCCCCTTTCCTTGATTTCTCTACCCAATAGCTCCATGTGAGAGATTATGCATGACTAGGTAGGTCATCAAATTACTTAGGACATATCCTCAAAATTGTAGCATTTTTCCCATCGGTAGCGCCGGGCATTGCTCCGCGTCAATATCAGCAATAATGCTACTTACTTAGGTAGGTCTAAATGTGTTCAGCCTAAAGTAACCCGAGAATCGAATCTATTCAACCCAACCCTGGAGACAGTTATCACAACAGGAAACGATCGACATACTAGTCATCCTGGAAGATCCATGCATTCTTTTGCATATTTGGCCGTCCGAGTCAATCCCTACGCTCAATGATTGGCAAATTGCCCGACGTATAACTATATCCGGGGAAATTTGTCTACTCATAGAGGGAGCACTTTGTTTGGGCTCCATTGAAGCATAGATAAACGCTTGGCTCCTATATTGAAAGCAAATTACCGTGTCAAATCTGGCCATTTGCGCTTCGTGGAACCTGCGGGATGGGAAAAAATTGGATAGATGTAACCTTGATATATTACTCGGAATTCTCCGTATAGAACCCTGGATCAACAAGGTAGCTAAGGTGAGGTAGCATGACAACCGACAAATATATATATTTGAAGTTAGGGGATTCCAGGGCTGTAGCCAGGTACTACATGCAACTCCCAGGATGCACGTGGATCACTCTGCACTTTTTTTCCGCCGTTCGGTAAAATTATATCCCTTCCAGTCACCAATGTTTTGCCCAAGAGGTCACGTTAAAGCAAGATTGTTTACGCGCTGCCTTTTGGACTTTCGACCCACCAGGCAGGCCGCGGCGTACTCGGGAACATAATCTTGAAACACTGGCTTTTCCGTACTACCGCTGTCTAGTGTTTCTCGTTGGAGTGCTGTCGGTACTATTGGTGAACCCCGCAATGCGATCCACAATGATAGCCAAGACCCAGCATGTGTCCTTCATCTTATCTTCTTTACTTCCGATGCTCCGGGTTGGGCAATCCGTCCAATATCAGGTGCCACGTCTCCACAAGTCAAGACCATCGCGCTGTTGATCTACAACATATTGTGCTTGGTATACGTCTTTTTACGGACTGGAAATGCTCAAGAAAAGACAAGAGCAGTCATGATTTATGCAGAGGATGAGTTTACACTAGATGGTAGCCTTTGAGAGGGCGACCAGGATGTATAGATAGATCCTCGGTTTCAACAACGAGACGGATAATTGTTCCAACGCTAAAGATTAAATAGCAAATATGCATGAACCAGGGGGATATTAATAATGATTCATACTATCCAATCATTACTGTTGGATAACTGGGCATTCTTTTATCCGTTCACAATAGTATGGTTTCGGACTGAAACGCTTTATGTCCGAAGGGTCTGCAGAACAATCTTAACAATCTTTCTTGTCCGAGCTTAACGCCCTGCAGATGATCCCACATTATCCGACGCCTAAAAAAAGCCTTTCTGCGGTTTGATGTCAGTGGAGGACCTCGGGAGCGCCGTGGCGCCCATTCCATCTAGCGGCGCTCTTGGCAGGCTTCAACCCTTTTCAATCCCACAAAGTGTCTCATGATCTTTTATTCTGTTGAGCATAGATTAGTATAGCCAAATTTATGCTCAGTACCGATACCTCAAAGCGTCTTCACTTGTAGTCATTGCTCCTTGCGCCTTTGAGCTCCCCAAATCTTATACAGCAATCGACAGAACTGGATCGGGGGATTCTCCGTATTCACGGATGTTGAAACGATCAATCCATGTTTATCCACTCCAATATTAGTCAGGGTCTTGATGGGACATCTCACCGCAGTCATCCGGCGATGATCATTCCCTTCCTGATTCGGGCCCCGGCTCCACTCTCAAATCGATGTATCTATGATACCGGAGGTCGCCCAGTATGGAAGTTGACACTGGTTTGATGTTTGTGGACTCTCTATCCATACTAATTTGGCCACGGCCTCACGGTCCGTCACACCGGCCGTGCTATGTAGAAAGGACCCTGGTCAAGGCTTGCTTATGGCAAGGACTTGGAGCAATCCTGCGGAGAGAAAAGATATATAAATATCTATTCCCACCCCGAGATTATTTCTGTTCATCAACTGCAGGCCAGACAACAAGATAACAAGATAACATTGCAAACCGACCTTCTCATTCATCAGCAATGTATCAACGCGCACTCCTTTTCTCCGCCCTGGCGGCGGCAGCCCACGCCCAGCAGGCTGGCACATTAAAACCCGAGACCCATCCCTCTTTGACCTGGCAAAAGTGTACTGCCAAGGGCAGTTGCACTGAGCAGAAGGGTTCTGTTGTCGTTGATGCTAACTGGCGTTGGCTTCACTCTGTCGATGGCTCCACCAACTGCTACACTGGCAACGAGGTAAGGAATCCCGAACTGCGAAGATGAGCGTCCATGTTGATTGAATTTTTTTTTTTCAATAATAGTGGGATGCGACTCTCTGCCCCGATGACAAGACTTGCGCCACAAACTGTGCCCTGGACGGCGCCGACTACGCTGGCACCTACGGTGCGACCACTGATGGCAATGCCCTTACTTTGAGCTTCGTCACTGGCGCCAACATTGGCTCTCGTCTGTTCCTGATGGAGGACGAAAGTACCTACCAGATGTTCAAGCTGAAGAACAAGGAGTTCACAGTCGATGTGGATACCTCCCAGCTGCCCTGCGGACTCAATGGAGCCCTGTACTTCGTCTCCATGGATTCCGATGGTGGCTTGGCCAAGTACGATGGCAACAAGGCAGGTGCCAAGTACGGAACTGGCTACTGTGATTCCCAGTGCCCTCGTGATCTGAAGTTCATCAACGGTCAGGTGAGTTTTTATACCGGTCAATTCAACAGGTTGTGAGCAAAATGACCAATGCGCGATACAGGCCAACGTGGACGGCTGGGTGCCTTCCAAGAACGACAAGAACGCTGGTGTTGGCGGTCACGGATCTTGCTGCCCTGAGATGGATATCTGGGAAGCCAACAGCATTTCCAGTGCTTACACGCCTCACCCTTGCGAGAGCCCCGAACAGACCATGTGTGAGGGTGACAAGTGTGGCGGAACTTACTCCTCCACCCGCTACGCAGGAACCTGCGATCCCGATGGATGCGACTTCAACTCGTTCCGCATGGGTAACGAGACCTTCTTCGGCCCCGGCAAGACCGTTGACACCAAGTCCAAGATGACCGTGGTCACTCAGTTCATCACTAGCGACGGCACCGACTCCGGCACCCTCAGCGAGATCAAGCGTATCTACGTGCAGGACGGAAAGGTTATTGCTAACTCTGCCTCGGACATCAGCGGTGTCACCGGAAACTCGATCACCACCGACTTCTGCACTGCCCAGAAGAAAGCCTTCGGCGACGAGGATGTCTTCGCCCAGAAGGGTGGTCTGGCTACCATGGGCGAGGGTTTGGACCAGGGAATGGTTCTGGTCATGAGCTTGTGGGATGACCACTATTCAAACATGCTCTGGTTGGACGGCGAGGCCTACCCCACTGATGCCTCTGCCTCTAAGCCTGGTGTTCCTCGCGGCACTTGCGCCACCTCCTCTGGTGACCCAACGACCGTTGAGAACGAGTCGGGCTCGGCCAAGGTGACCTACTCCAACATCAAGGTCGGCCCCATTGGCTCTACCTACGCTTCTTAAAGGAGTCAAAGTGACAGGTACTTTCTGAACTTGGCTACACTGGAATGCGGGGTCTCCGTGCTGCATAAAGTCTTGAGCCAGTGGTAGCAAATGCCCAAGTTGGAAGAAAATGGTGAATAGTATATAAGCTTCCTTTCTTTGACAATTGTCTGTATTCTTGATTTTATTTGTCTTTTCATTTCCTAGAACCAGTTTGGTTAATAAATTGAATTGATGTCATTTGCCAATTTGAACTCAAACAAGTAAAGAAGGCGGTCGGGGATATTCTCGGCCCGGCAGAAAAAAACGGCCAGCTCTCAAGCTCCAGCTTTTTGCGATTGATTCTCTTGATTCAATTCAAACGAATTCGGATTTTTACTAGGCTCACTAGAAGCCTTTAAATTTTCTGCTATTCCAGTCGCAATTCGCAACCATGTTTGACACGGTCTGCACGCTCCCGCTTTCCTCGGACCTGTTCGCTCAGGCTATCCACCCCGAGGAGCCCGTAGTCTCTGTCGGTCTGGCCTCGGGCCACGTCCAGACCTTCCGACTGCCTTCCTTGGAAGGAGAGGATGATGAAGATGCCGCACCGAATTCGTCGGCCCGCACTGGAAAGGGCCACATTGACACAATGTGGAGAACTCGGCGACACAAGGGTAGCTGCCGCACTCTAGGGTTCGGTACGGATGGCAAGACACTTTACTCGGCTGGTACAGACGGTATGGTGAAGGCTGCAAGCACCGAGACTGGTCAGGTGCAAAACAAGATTGTGATTCCTCTTGAGAAGAACGGGTAAAGGAACTCTCCCGCATATCAAGTGTTGCAATCCAGACCTTTGCATTTGGCTGACCGATCGTTTCTTGATGTTATATAGCGCTGTTGATGCGCCAACCATGATTCACGCCCTCTCTCCTCAAACTCTTCTCCTCGGTACCGACTCAAGCGCTCTGCACCTCTACGATCTCCGTATTCCCTACTCCAAGGTATCCGCACGGCCGGAGCAGTCGCACCACCCCCACGATGACTATATCTCCTCTCTTACCCCTCTGCCGGCTTCCGAGACTAGCACGTCGGGCTTTAGTAAGCAGTGGGTTACCACTGGTGGAACAACTCTGGCTGTGACGGATCTCCGGAGGGGCGTTCTGGTTCGCAGCGAGAACCAGGAAGAAGAATTGGTCAGCTCCGTCTTCATGGGTGGTTTGCCGTCCAGCGGAACCAGTCGGGGCGAAAAGCTTATCGTTGGTGGAGCCAGCGGTATCATCACTCTCTGGGAGAAGGGTGCGTGGGATGACCAGGACGAGCGGATCTACGTCGACCGCAATACCGATGGCGGAGATTCCATCGAGACAATGGCAGTTGGGCCTGACTACTTGGGCAAGGTGGTGGCTGCAGGTCTCTCAAGCGGAAAGGTGAAATTCGTGCGCATCGGACCCAACCAAGTTGTCTCTGAGGTTGTGCACGATGAGATTGATGGCGTTGTGGGCTTAGGCTTTGACGTGGAGGGCCGTATGGTCTCTGGTGGTGGTCAGACTGTCAAGGTGTGGCACGAGGCTGAGGACAATGTTGATGGATCTGGCGATGAAGACATGATGGATGATAGTGATGACGATAAAGATTCGGATGACAGCGATGCGGAACGTCGCGAGGATCCGAAGGACCGAAAGAAGCGCAAGAAGTCCAAGGGCAAGGACCGCAGTGGTGGACAGCATGTCATGGCCTTCCATGACCTGGACTAATGTCCAAATACCCCATTATCTGATACCCACATCTGCAGATCAATTGTTCAGTCCGAAAATAAGAAAAAAGTGTACATAGCGTTGGTGTTAGGGTTTCTAAGAACCAATTCGAGGGAAAATATCTCTATCCCCATTTCGAGATAATTTATTCTGTATTGTTTCCCCCTTACTTTACTCTAGGTTGTTCAAGGTCCATAGGTTGTTTTCAAACGCCAAAGCCGCATGAGCCAAAAATGGCATATCTCAAACCCAATCGTCCGATACCGACTCCACTCATACAAAAACCTCACTTCATTTAGCAACACATCCAACTCCAAAGACCACAGTATTATGAATCATTCCTCAAGCAAGTCAGACCACTCTGGAATATCCTTGATGAGTTTCCACATGTACTTCTCCAGCCTGACCGCACACTTAGCGTACACCGTTGTGGCGTCATTATACTGCTGACAGTTACTGAAAATCAACTTGAGATCGTCGACAAAGTCTTTCGGAGAATCATAACGCTCCAATCTTTCTTCTATGGTCGACATATCCATTGGGAATGCAATGGAATTGTAATAATCCGGGACTTCGTCTTTGTTGACTGGATTGAGGAAGGGCCATGCTTGTTTGTGGTTTTGAATTTCATTCAGAAAACGTCGTAGTTCGTTGAAATGAGGACCCCTGAAACGAGATCCGTGGTATGATTCTCGTGCCAACTCGTCCATGGCTGGAGACCAACCAGTTGCCCGGATGGCAGGGATAGAGAGTGGATCGATTGGAGTCACGACGCCGTCGCTAGCGTTAGCCCATTGCTGTGGCGGTAGATGGATGATATGACTTTTGCTCAAGGTGCGGATTTTGACTAGAACGGATTCTTTCTGCTTGAGGAGCATTCGGCCGACTTCAAGATACCGTATTCGGGCAACCATGGAGCATTGCATAAGTGTCCCTCCTTCGTAATCCTTAATACACCCCTTCCAGATAGAATTGTCGAGAGTGATCTCTTTAGTAAAACCTTGCTTTTGAAAATACCCGATGGCATGATTATCGGCATATGTCAGAAAATGCATCACAGGAGAAGTGGCTCTAATATAATCCTTGAGATGGGCCATAAGATGCGCTCCGTATCCTTTCACCTGTTGATCAGACGAAACTGCACAAAACACGATTTCGGCAAATTTACGATCTCGGAATTCTCGAAATGATATACCGCCAATGACCTCTAGAGGCATTTTGACGATAGCGATCGATAAATGAGTGCGATCGTAGACGAGACGTGCGATATAATCCTTAGGCATTTCCGGAAGTTGCCTTTGAAATATACATTTAAGACCTGTGAGGACAATCGTACTTTCTCTGGAGCCATCGTTGTTGACAACTCGGAACTCGATCTCGCCATTTCGTTCTTCCAAAACTGCAGGCTTTAGAATAGTTAGAAGGTCTTTAGTCTCTTGACATTTAGAGGTCTTGGCATACCTTCTCTGGGAAAGGAGGTCTCCAGGTTAGAGCTGGCGTTTGAACATCCGCCTCTGTCAACCCATCGTGAAAGCGTCTTGTCCTTTTGGAATCGGGGGCGATACTCGGCGCTTCACAAGCCGTGCGCTTCGCAATGAGAAGATTTGGCCCGCTGTCAGCTGGAAATGATTGCGACTCTGTTTTGTCCATTTGTGTGTGCTAGCGAACCAGGGCTTGCGATGGGTAATATGCAAACCAGCGTAGGTGACCCTGAGGCTCTCCGAAATGATTATAGTCTTCCTTCTTTAATGATGGAAATACTGAGTTAAGTAGAATCCGAGGTCAGAGGTCTATTCACTGTAGGACCCGGTGGTCAATGCTCACCGGCCCGCCCTTGTTTCTGCTTATATAAACACTAAATGCTTCCTTGGAAGAATTTGAGATACACTGTATGTTTGATTTTACTAGAGAAGAAACTGAAGACTAGAAGGGGGAAGAGAAAACCATTCACCTGGGAAGTATAGGGAGCGCACGGACGGCAGATAGAAGAAGAAGAGAGGAGACGAGTGGAGCGAGAGATCTACCGGCCCCAGTGATATCCCATTTGGACGACCCTCACCTTTAGCATTGTCGATAATCGAAATTGGATTATTGAAAGTTCCTTGTGGGGTAACGTCAATCGCATTCAAGGTCCACTATGATCAGAGGAAATATGGCTTCATTTGTGTATCTACTCAATGGGTCTGTTTTGGTCTAGGAATCTACAACATGCGTAATAGAGAGATAAGCCAGTGTTAGTTTGAAATTGAAATTGAAATATAATTATTAAATTTAGTTGAATACCTTTAAAACCAAAATGCCTCTAAAACCTTGACGCCTCTAAAAAAAAACCCCGACGTTACCATGCCGAAGATACATTTTTCACAGGTTGTTCACTCTGTGGAGTGGTTCGAGTCTCATGGGTGATATCAATCTGATTGGAGACCACGATAGCACCCGAAGACGGGTTGCCAGACGTAGGTCCCTCATATGTCTTCAAGTTCTGCATCTTGACATCTTCCATCATCCGTTCCTCACTCTCGGTAAATGACATGCCAATGGTCATAGGATCCGTACTCGCAGGACCGTGACCCTTCCGACTGGCATAGGCACCCCCACCACCAATACTCCGGAAACCAGCCGAGGGCGATTTATGTGTCTTCTGAGATGACTGAAATTGGCTGCCAAAAATTTTGTTGAGCCAAATTCGGAAGAGGTGAAAGATCATGGGAAGATTGGTTGTAACGACCGCGACGAATGTTTCGCGGGTGCCCCATTCGTTAGCGAGTTGTGCGCCATCTTCGGGATCCTATAGAAAACGACGAATGAAATTAGACAAGCCGGGGGCAATGTGAATATATTGAAGCTCACCACTAGGAGGAAAACACTCTTAATAGTAGCACAGACAAGAATGAAGACACCCGAACTGAGCACAATAGTGGCTGCGACCTTTTTCAAGGGCTTCAGACTCGATTTCCAAAGCATTGGAATTGGGATGAATATGAGGTATGGATCGGTAATGAGGTTTGCGGCGAAGGTTACTCCGATGACCGGTGTGGAAATGGCTGGTTGGCACACGGCTAGAGGCATAGTTAGCAGATATTGAGTTGCTAGGGACAAGATGGGAGTCTGACTGCCGGGGTCTGGATTGATCTGCCAATTTTTGTGGAATGGTCGACATGCCGCAAATATTGTGATGACACTGGCGAGGAAGCTCCCAATGACAAGGCCAAATCCAACATAAATGGGAATGTGATAACGCCGACCAAGGCCATCCTGTTTTGGTATCAGTTACTCGTTGCGAAACATCGTTGGAAATTATAGAGATCAATACCATTAGTCGAACGTAGAATGCCAGCATGGACAATTTGAGTGAATTAATCAATGCGGAATAAGTAGTCCAGCCCGCAATTTGAATCTTGGAGCCAATAACTCTAATTTAATGGTTGGTGATCGAATTCAAATTTGCTCTTCGGTTGATAATTTCGGGAGACGTACCTGGCTCTGTAGGCTGGGTTGCTGGGCAATAGTGCTTCTCGCTGGGCGGCTGTCATGCCGTTGTTGGCGAGACCACCGGAAACATTGCCCACACTATGTGCAAGCGACGCCTGTGCAGTATAGAGTATCTGTATAGATTGTAAATCAGCAACCAGTAGGACGACATATGATCAATTGGAATAATCACAATTGCAACCCATATAAGATAATCGTCGAGTCGTAAATTCCTCCATCCACCGGCTCTGCACCGAGCATATGTTCTAAGAATTGTCACGGCAAGGCCAATTGAATATAAGGTCCATAATTCCACTGTGGCTTTGTGGGCATCCGACGCTGCATCTCGTGCCTCCAAGCCAAATGCCATGACGGTCGACATTTGTGAAGAATAGCGTGGGTCCGAGTTAGCGCAGCGAAGATTTACGCATGCGAATGGAAAAGGTCAAGAAGGGCCGACTATCAGACTATCTCCCCTGTACTAGCCCGAATCTTTCATTCGATTAAAGATTACGGAGTATGAACCCTAGAATGTGTCAAATACACCGGGGGGACCGAATATACTGGTACGATAGCGGGTGGCATACAATTTTCAAGGTTTATTTTGTATTACACAAACCTTAGACAAGGCCTGGTTCGTTCCGTCCACGGGAATCCAATGATTTTTGGAAGCCACATGGGGCACCAAATTGATGATAGAGTTTTATTCAAATTAGTCAGGGTTTCTGTATCCATGGATGTCCACGTGCTAACCGTGGTTCTTCAGCTGGCTATATCTTAGTTTCCGGCAATTATACTCCGTACTCCGTACCCGTTTCGTCGATCTCTTCGTCGATCGGATACAGTTTACCGGTACTGTGCTGCATAGCTAGCTCCCACATGGCAGACAGGGGGGACACTTGCCACGCATATCAGGGTATTTTGAGAGGAAACGTGCTTGTCCTGATTAAGAAATTAACTTAATCTAAAAACAAATTGAAATTTCTTTATACGGAATACGGAGTACGGAAACACTAAGTGGCATTCCGCGCAAATTAAATCCAAAGTGAAATCTAAGACACATAACTGGAGATGCCCAGTAGCGAGATGATAGTGGAACCTTTCCAAGACGCGATGGATGCATCCCCACACAGTTGGGGCCAAACCTGTATCCATGTCCAACCAAGATCCAGAGAAGCACGTTCCATTTGAACACCAGAGTGGAACTTAATTGTTCGGGGCGGATGGTTGCGCTTACAACATATGTTGTAGGTGTTAGGGCTGCTATTTAGGCAGCCGGATGTAACATACCTAGATAGTCCAGCCCCTGCATTAGTGTGGCATAGGGGAGAGTCTAGCAACTCTCATCTGGGAGAAAAATTAAGGCATAGGTAGACGACCAGGGAGTTTAATTAAGGAACATAGGGAGATTGACAACCAAATGGATATGTTGTACAACTTAGGGCCGTGCTATGGAATCGGGGCGGTGTACGAAGTACGAAGTAGACGATAACTATGTTGTATGCCATTGAGGCTTTTTCAAGAACAATACTCTGTAATACGCTATTTAAAAAAAAGAGAAACAATCTAACCGAACTAACTCTAGGGTAGTTTTACAATTGCCGTAAACAAGATGTAATAAATAGTTAGAGTACCGCACAACTGACAAGGATTCCTACTCTGTACCGAGGTGTAGCATAGCATACCCACTTTTTTCAGACATCCTCTGACGATCGAACGCAAGGGGCACTTGGTTTTTGCTTTTTTTTTTGTCTTTACAAACTTAGGGCATCATCCTTTTTGAGTAATGTATCGTCTCAAGTTGGAGATTATCACGGCCGTTGCGGCCTGGGCCTTTTCTGCGGCCTCTTTGGCTTTCCCTAGCGGTATCGAGGGAGGCATTTCCCCACGAGGCGATGCTGACTTCGAGGCGTTTGGAAAGAAGCTTTCGAGCACTGCCAAGATCTATTCTCCGGGATCGAGCGGGTTCACGCAGGTCACAACGCGGTGGTCTGCCCTAGCAGAACCTAAGGTTAACATCGTTGTCGTGCCCGGCAATGAGAACGACGTTGTTGAGACGGTAGGTTATTCGGTGTTTTCTATATTTATTTCAAACACGCAATGGCAGATACTAATTGTGACGTTGGTTTAGGTTAAATTCGCCAACAAGAAGGATCTGCCCTTCCTCACGTACAATGGTGTCCACGGAGCCCTGGTTTCGCTGGGTAAGATGGACTACGGCGTTGGAATCTCTTTGAGCCAGCTGAGTAGCGTTAAAATTGCCAAGGATGGCAAGACAGCCACTATGGGTGGGGGAACTATGTCCAAGGTGGTCACCGACCAGCTCTGGGCCGCAGGAAAGCAGACAGTTACTGGAACCTGTGAATGTGTCAGTCTTCTCGGACCGGCCCTTGGCGGTGGACATGGATGGCTCCAAGGCCACCACGGACTCGTCTCTGACCAATTCGTTTCGATGAAGGTTGTTCTCGCCAACGGTACCTTGAAGACAATTAACAAAAATTCCGACCTCTGGTGGGCGATGAAGGGTGCTGGTCACAACTTCGGTATTGTGACTTCTCTCACCAGCAAGATATATGACATCGTGCACAGTGATTGGGCTATCGAGACGATCACTTTGAGTGGTGATAAAGTCGAGGCTGCCTACGAGGTTGCCAACGAATATCTTCTGAAGAATGGCACTCAGCCCGCGGATCTCATCAACTGGTCGTACTGGATGAACATCCCCGATCTTGACGCTACCAACCCCGTCATCGTTTTCTACATCATCCAGGAGGGAGTGAAGGCCGTTGACTCGATTTACACCAAGCCTTTCCACGATCTCGGACCGCTTTCTGTTGTACCCCAGGCAGGCACCTACAAGGACCTCGCTGGATGGACGGGCATTGCCCTCGACTCCCCGCCATGCCAAAATGCCGGGTTCGCTAACCCCCGCTATCCCATCTATCTCCAATCATACGACGTTGCCGCCCAGAAGAAGGCATGGGACATCTACGCACCTGCCATTAGAGGATCCTCTGCCTACAACAACTCAATCCTCATGTTCGAGGGTTACTCCTTCGGAGGCGTGCACGCGATCCCTAGCAGCTCGAGTGCTTTCCCCTTCCGCAGCGAGAATATCCTTGCCGCTCCGCTCATCAACTACTTGCCCGGCGATGCAGCAGTTGCGGACGAGGGTGCTG